ATTGTCGGCCTTTACTTTTCTTGCTTGGTTAACTTCTGTTTGCTCCCATTGGTCTTGCATTTCTCACGTTGTCTTGGGATTCTTCTTCTGGGCTGAGGCGGTTGGGCGTATGAGGACAGCTCGGTAGGTTGTCAGACAGATAGCGGCATTTTGGCGGCCAGACCATCCATCAGATAATCACACTTGAATGAAGAGGGGGGAAGGACTCATATCGAGTGAAGCTGATGGTGAAGCTGATGTTTTTTGCTTCGTTCTCCGGGTATCTTTTTTGTCTATCCCAGCCTTGTACTCATACATTCATCCATCTCTATGTATCACATGCCATCTTCATTGTAAGCTACAGCGATTCTCAGCCACGCCACCAGCATTTCTTTACTTCCGGTAGCCATCCCACCCCGGCCAAGCAGTCTGCAGCATCCTCTCCCTATGCCTCGCCAACTCCCCATCCCCAGCACCCAACACCATCCTCCCCAACGCCACCCCCGTTCCTTCCCCAGCCGAGCCGCCCTCTTCCGGCATATACTCCATCATCAAATGCGTATAACTAAACAAGGCCGCATCAAACACACCGGGTCTCTCCCGCCCAAAAAACCACCCCGTCTCACTCTGGCTCAACAAACTCGCCAGCGCCTCCAGCGCCTCCCTCGCCGAGCGGTACACGGCCTCCTCGTCGATCCCCTCGACGCTGGCCACCGGCGCGAGCGAGACGATCTTGCCGCCGCCGGCGCTGGTGGTGGCAATCTGCTCGGCGGCGGCGCGGCGCAGCTGGTAGAGCAGCGCGGCCTGCACCCCACGCGAGGACGACGCCGGGCGGATGTACAGCTGCCGCAGCAGGGCGGCGTGGGATGGGTCGAGGTACAGCGCGTAGAGCCAGGCGCTGCGCAGGGAGAGGTTGATGAGAGAGAGGTAGGCTTGGGAGCGCGGGGGCAGGTCGGGGTCTAAGTCGCCGGTGCCGGGTTGGGATCGCTGGGCGTAGGCGAGGAGGTTGCTGGCGGGGATGGGGAGCGGGGCGGTGGTGGGTGAGGTGCGCGGCGGGAGGAGGAAGGGTAGGGACCCGGTAGGGGAGGCGTGGTTTGTGGACGGGAGGGTGCGGAAGTCGAGTTTAGCGAGCCGCAGGAGGGTCTACGGGACGGGACATGTGTGTGTTAGCGGAAGGGGAAACGATAGCCGATGGGGAGGGGTGCGTATACCTGCCACTTTAGACAGCCCGGGTTGAAGCTGGGAAGGCCTAGCCGAGCGTCTGCGTCGGTGGAGAAGATGTATAGTGTTGGGAGGTCACTCGAAGTAAGGTGTTGCGACCTTTCGGGGAGATGGTTGGGTTCGTAGGTCTGCAAGGGAAAGTGATCGAAGAGCTGCTGCAGCGGCCGGGGGATCTGCATCTTGCGCCAGCTTGACGCAGGGGAGGTTATCGATGACATGCCGGTCGAGAATGGCGACTTTGAAGATAAAGGCCGTGCTGTGTTGCGTTCCGCAAAGCCAAGGTATGCCCTTCGTAATGTTGTTGTGAATGTGAATGTGCCAATTCTCGGATTCTCTTCGGTCTCTTCGCCGTATGGTGCAAATCGACTTCCGCAAGATCGCGCCGAGAGTACACTGCAGCGACCGGGGTGGGGCTTCTCTCCCGCCTGTGCATACAGATTTCGCCGGAGATCTCGGAAGGTACCGCCGGAACTGGATCGAGCGCTCTTTCCTTTTTTGGTCACATTTTCGCGCTGGAATTCAGGACCGGAAAGACCGAAAGCAAGAAGGAGCTTAGGAGTTTTTCCATCTGGGATTGTGAGATGTCCGGAGTTTCTTGTTGAACTTGGTAAGCTTTAGTTCTAGTGGGTTGATTACACAGTGTTAGTGCCCCTCAGCAGAGCCGCACCAATAACTGAAAGTTTAACCACCAACTGCAACTTGCCTTTAAGCTCGATGGCACCCAAGACCATCAACCAGGACCAGGCTCTTCTAATATTGCTTTAGCCTACCGTTGGATGCATGGCAAGTTGGGCTGCAGGGCACCGAAGCAACGTTGGCATTTCTCCGACTCCCGTCGATTGACGTTTGGGAAACAACATTGACTCGATCGAGACGAATCGAGACGACACCATAACTATAGAACCCGACCATTCACAACGCCATCATACGAGACCGATCCGTTGTTTAGATGAGGTGAGCTGATCATTGCCGCAGTCCCCGAAACCTGCTCGATTTTCTCCGGTTTTCCCCATGGCCGCTGCAAGCTCAAACGAACAAGGTGCCGAGGAGCGAATAAAAGACGTTTCGCCACCGTCACGTTGGCTGTTGTCTCGATATCGGGGGCTTCAAACGGCTAAATGCTTCGGAAGGGATTGTCTTGATTGTACCGCGGTGCTTCCGCCGCCAAAACCAACACCATCCGAACCCTTGCCAACCCAGTGGGGAAGGTCGGCTTGACAGGCCCACTCGGTCAGGACAGGCGATGCTTGGTGCGTCGCAGTCTCGGAGGAGGTTAGGGACTCCCAGGCCGGCCGCGATGACCGTTTAAATCTCGCATATTCTAGACTGTCGCCATCTTATCCGGATGTCGATCGAATGGACTGGGGACATCTTCTCATTCTTACGACCTCGACCGCACATGGTCATCCTCAAATGCGATGCCATGGGTGACATTTGACAGGGCCCCTCTGGATCCCGGCCGAGATCTACTTCTCTCCCGGAGCGGACGAAGGGGCCGAGAAGCCAGGACCCTCCACGCCCCGAAGCCACCGCCCTGCTGAGGCGAGCTGAGGCTCCGCAGCCCTAGCCTTGGCCATATCAATCGCGGAGCATCCTTCCAGCTTCCAGAGAAACCGTTGGAGCCATGTTACGAAACTTAGCAAATGATCCACCACGGGACAGGACACAGGCACGGCTGGTCAAGCTCCGAGGACTACCGTGCCATACGGAAATTCTTGGCAGATATCCTGCGCCGCCGACCTGGTTACGATCGATCTCCACGGCAGGTGCGGGCCCTCGTCCAGAGCCCGGCAGGCCGCGTTGTTCTCATCCGCCGCGTCGGAGGAGTACGCAAAGAAGCCGGTCGGCAGCAGGATCGACTTGCCGCGGGCGAGGTAGAGCGCCCCTGAAATCCCATGTGAAGCACGGCGGCTAGAAAGCTCGCAGATTTGGTCACACGGCAAGCTCTGAGGAAGAAAGTGTTACTCGGTGCTGAGCGTCTGACCGAGAAAGCGTGTGCCTCGGCATCGGCGCGATTACCTGCTCCTGGATTTGCAAATCCTCTCACAATATGAGATAACGTCGCCCTGACATTCTGCCATCACCCAAGCACCACAGATATATGAGATCTGCCACTAGCCATTGAGCCTTGCAGGTTTGTAATATGTTCCAATGAGCCAGCCACAGGAATGAGGCGCCGGTCAACAAGTCCAACGAACCCCTGGTAGAAAACGGCATCCCCTCCAACGTGGGGGTCAAGGAGGGCCCACGGGAGCGTTCCCGACCCCACCACTTCAGATTCTCCTGGAGTGACTCGGCAGTACTTCAACGGGCCAGACCGTTGAGCACTGTTCAGCCAAAACTACGGCAGATCGGTTGTTCGGTCCTTTTCCCGGTTACTCGGCCGAAGTATTTCTTTGTCACTTACACTCTCGGCGCAATGGAGGGGCGGGCCTAATGACGCCAGTTGCTGCTCCACGCTCAGAGATCCAGGGCCGGGCGCGACAAAGTCGATCAGCGTGAAAGGGAAAAGGGCCGCTGCTTCATCTCCATCCCACTAGCCGCAGGGTTTTCTTTGTCACCTTATATGGCCGTGTGATTGCCCCCCGCCTTCTGCCCCCCTTTGCCTGTCCGTCGACACAACCAACACCTTTCTTCCCGTTCAACTAGTTGCCTTGCCCCTTGCACCGCACGTATCCTTGGCTAGGGAAACCGGAGAGCGCATTTGTCGAGAAGCACAGCAAACCACCTCTTTACACCACAACTCGCCCGATATTGCTTTCGCTATCTTGCCTTGCGTGGCCACCACCCGCGTCACAACTCATTGCCTCTTATCGATCGTCACTGTAACCGCACCGCTCACCGGTTTGGGTCTTTTGCAGGACGCACCCAGCACCATCGCCGGCAAGTAGCTAGGTGGGAAGACGGTTGCCGTCTGCACAACCAAAGTTCGCATCTCGCGTCTGCAGTGTCCCGCTCGCGGACCAAATTGCTGTATATTGGGCCCCAACCCTATTCAGCCGGCTTGCTTTCGTCTGCGTCCCGTGTGAACTTGAGATCGGCTCAGGCCTCCATCCGAGTCGCCGAGTCAGACCTTTATCTGGACGGCTGCGCATGATAGGGTGCTGCACCTTCTCCTAGGTACCGAAACACAAAAGGCGCCGCTTCAGTGTGCGGTTCGAAGGGTTGCCATCCACCCGTTTTCTTCTCTTGGGAGATATTGCGCCGGTGGTGATACAGCAGCCGGTCTGTCTTCCGTCCCGTCGAGAGAGACAAAGCGCCCGGGCGAGTCGTTCTGTCTGCCGAGAATTCGGTATCCCAGAAGGGCTTACGTCCTTGCAACTTGCGTCTTCGGTCCTTGCGACTTCGCCATAACCCCTCGCTCTCTTCCACTCTCGCTCATTCTGTCGTTATCGCCTACTCAAGCTCGACAACTTCACCCCCATCGATATAAAGAGAGAGAACCTAGCGATAGTTTTCGTCCACCAGCCTCTACCAAAATGGACACCCGGTCCACTTCAAGCAGCATGTCTTCGACGCAGCAGTCGCCCACCAGCAAGATTGTGCCGCCGGCGCCGAAACCCGTCAAGACGGCGTCAACCGACGTGTTCCTGAAGGACTTCACCCTCGTGGCCGAGGCGGCGAAGCGGGCGCAAATGGCGGTACTGATGCGAGACTTTGAGAGTGTCGGGCTGAAATAGACAGAGTCTTGCGCATCCATCCGCTGCGGCCATGCTATCGACCTTGTCCATCCCCCGCCCCGACCACCGAGGTCCGAAGGCTGGTGTCGACATTGACATTTTCTCGAATTTACACAAGAGCGGCATAGAACAAGATGTTGTTGGCCTTTGTGGCGCCAGCAAAGAGAAGGGGACCGCAAGATCACGGAGGAGAAGGGGAACAGCGACGGGACAGCAAGCGGTTGGATACCTTGGTCTAGATATGGATCATGAGGTGCATGAACAGGGCGACTAGGCTGGGTTGATCGAAGAGGATTGGGTTTTATTGCCCCAGGGGGGCCGGCGTAACCAAGGAGGGCATTTTCGGACGGCATCAGGAGTTTCTTAAGGTCTAGGGGCAACGGAGGGAGGCTCACCATTGGGGTAATCGGTTGTTTTATTTTTATTTCATTTTCTGTTATCCACTCCGGGACACAAATCTGGACGATGGGCTTTCTTTGAGGAAGGCTCTGATTTAAACATCACACAGTGGTCAGTCGTCGATTAGTCGGTAGTTAAGCAACACGCTAGGATCATAATACAGCGTTTTAACCACCCACCCCCTTCTATAGCCATGCATCCCTTTGACAACTAACCTTTCCCCCCTTCCCCCCGCGCCCGCCACCACGCAGACACCCTCCCACTCCCATTATAAACTTTCAAAAGCCGTCCCACCACTGCCCCCCCATAAAAAACAACCCTCAAATCTTACTCATCAACGACACCCCCCCATCCAACGCCACCGTCGCGCCATTGACAAACGCCCCCGCCCGGCTCGCCAGAAAGAGACACGCCCCCCCGACATCCTCGGGCAGGCCAATCCTCCCCAGCGGATTGGCGGCCTTGATCTCATCCCCAAAATTCCGCAGCGTCGCCGCCATCATCTTGCTCGGGAACGGCCCGCACGCCAGCGTGTTGCTCGTCACGCCGCGCGGGCCCAGCTCCACGGCCAGGTGCCGGGCTCAGGTGGTGCAGCGCCGCCTTGCTCGCGCTGTACGGGAAGGTGGGCAGCAGCGGCACCCGCAGTGCGTCGATCGACCCGATGTGGATCACCCGGCCCGGGGTTCGTCCGGTGGACGGGGACCTCCTCTCCCTTCCCGCCTTGCGGTGAGAGAGACTCCAGCAGCGGAGTGAGCAGGCGAGGTCAGCGCGAACACGCGCTGCACGTTGAGCGTCAGCAGCTTGGTCCAGGCCGCGTCCGGGTAGCTGTCGTAGGCCTCGCCCCAGGTGGCGCCCGAGTTGTTGACGAGCACGTGCAGGCGGGGCTCGCGCGCGGCGAGCGCGGCGGCCAGGCGCTCGCACTCGGCGAGGGAGGAGAGATCCGCGGGGAGCGGGATCGCCGTGCCCGTGCTGCTCTCGTCCGGCAGCGCGTTGAGCTCGGCGCAGGCCGCGTGGCAGGCCGCGGCGTCGCGCGAGGCGATGTACACGCGTGCGCCGTTGCGTACGAAGGCTTCCGAGATCATGCGCCCCGACGCCTTTCGGCGCCGCCGGTGACGAGGACGACTTTGTCCTGGGGGGTGGGGTTAGTAAATATTTGGGGGTTGGTTGGTTTGGGTTGGGTTTGTGGTGTGTGAGTGAGTGAGTGAGTGGGAGTGGAAGGTGTAAGGGGGCTGGGGAAAGTGGTTACGGTTAGGTTACCTTGACGGAGAAGAGGGATTGGATATCCATTTTGAGGGTGGGATTGTGGGTTGGTTGCTGTAGAAGTTGAGGTTGAACTCCAATGCGTATAAGCTCTAAAGGGTTCTATTCCCGGTGTTGTTGTCAAGCTGAGTTGAGCTGAGTTGAGTTGTTGAGTTGAGATACGATGCCGGCTGTTGAGAGCCCGGAAGCCGAGCCGAGGCAACTGAGTCCGGACCGACTGTTAGTGGTGCCAAGCTCCGGGGGAGGAGCAGATTGAAACATTTTAATTGGCTTAGACAAGAATTGTGCATCCGTCAAGCGTGATCCAGAACCACTTTCAATGCGGACAACTGGACCCACGACAACAGTTTCATGGAGAAGTGGGGAGCGTGATATCCTCACCGTGCAGCTTCCCTTGCCCTTGGGCATCTCCAGTCTAGAGGTGGAGCTCCAGGTAAGCTGTCCTTGCTGTGCGCAGGAGTAGTACCCCCTGGATGTACATACTTCGTAAACATTCGCCCTTGACAGTCTCCAATAACCTCACAACCCACACACATCACAACACCCTCAAGTCCCATCTCAGCCATATTACGGTCTCATTACTAACCCTAGGCAACCTCTAAGCACCCAAAACCAAAACAAGCCCTTTGCCCCAACATCTCAACAGCCAAACAACGGCGGAGGAGCTGAAAAAACAACGCCCCCAGTAGATGCCCAATTTTATGTCCTCACACGCACAATATCCCAACACAGCAGCCGATACCAGCAGGGCAGAACAAGGACAAGGAAAACAAAAGCCAGCCAACGACAATTTCGAGGAATTCGCCTGCCAATGAAAAAGTCATGGGATTTCCTACGCTCCTCCGCTGTCTTTTTAGATCAAAGTCAAGGTCTAGATCGCGACAGATTACCGAGCTGGGAGAGTAGGGGAAGCAAAAGCGGCGCTTGTTGATATACAAAGGCTGCTTCTCTTCTTTTGGCGGAACGACCCCCTTTTAACGGCGGGCGAAGCAGCACATGATACCGGTCCTGCCAAGGAACCACAGGAAGCCGATGAAGCGGACGAGAGAGAGGCCGGCGGTGGCGAACAACAGGAACTTGAAGAACCAAGCGGTACGCGCAGTGGCGGTTTGCTGCGAGTCATAGTCAGTATTCGTTGGTCCCGTATGGTTTTGGGGAAGAGGGAGAGGGGGGTGCTTACGCCAATGCCGAACGAGTTGAAGTTGTCGCTGGTGATGACGACCGCGAGCAAGCAGTTCGAGAACAGCCACGAGACGACGAGCATGGTTCTGAAGGACTTGTACGAGTCCTCGAGATCCTTGGGCTCGGGCTTCTCGTCCTCCTTGAAAGGCGCGAGGGCGCGGCGGACCGTCTGCTCAAACATCTGATCGATATCTTCCTGCGGCTTCTCGATTTCCTCCACGACCACCTCGTCCTTCTCGCCCTTGGTAACCTGGGCTGACGGTAGCGCATCGTTCTTGTCGGACCCCTTGGTACCCCACGAGACATCATGCCAGTTGTTGAACGCGTATACCATGAGGACGTTGATATAAGTCGACATGAGCAACATGTAGTACGGGAACGAGTGGAACATGTGCCACGGGTCGAGGTACATGAACGAGGCCAGGAAGTAGAGACCGTAGATGGTGATGAGCGCGAGCAAGATGACACCGGCCGCGCTCGAGCCACCAAACAGCGATTCGAGCGCGTTCGAGGCGCTGTCCAGCTGGATCTGCTCGCTCAGCGGGGTCGCGAAGGCTTGGGCCACGAGGTACACCGAGAGGACGATAATGTAGGCCTGGATGATGGCGAAAACGATGTACGAGGTGATGTATGTCCACTTGGAACCCTTCGGCCGGTTACCCAAGGCGAGGATAAACTGCAAGATAACGAATGCCAGGTAGATGTACTGAAGAACCGCGTTGATGAAGGGGGTTGCCGAATCGCCAAAGGGCCAGGCGTGGTGCTCCGAGGTACTATTCGAAGCGGGAACCGGGGTGCCGACGAGGTCCATGATGACGGTGGTTGTGAGCCAGTACGAAGAGAGCGAGAACCAGGTGAAGATGACGTTGAGAATGTTGTAGATGAGCTGGATGTGCAGGAAGAACATGCGCAGGATGTTGTGACCGCTCTTGTACATGCGCCCGAAATGCATGAGGGAATACAAGCTGGCGGCGAAGGAACCGTTCAGCCAACGACGACGCTGGCTGATGAACTCGGGAGCGCCTTCGGGCACGTCTGTCTCGCCCTTGGCGGCCTTGATGTAGCTCAGATGCCACTTCTGGCCCGCCTTGGCGACCAGTTCGAAGCAGAGAATACGATCTTCGGCCAAGAACATGTTCTTCTTGAAAATGTTCATGCCCTCGATACCCTTCTTACCCAGAATCTTGGACAGGGTGTGATCACCGTGGAAATATTGCTCGAGCGGGCGGCCCATAATGGCTCGGAAACGGTAGGCCGAGAAAGCACCGGGCAACACACTGACGTAACCGAAAGCACTCTCCAGAGGCTTGTCCAGAATGTTGGAGATCTTGTACTCGAAGTTCTGCACGGCCACCAACGGGTTGATGAGTTTCTTGCCCCCCTATTATCTCAATGTTAGCCACGGGCACTAATAAATCCCAAAAAAGCGAATAGAACCGAACTGACCTTGCCCAACATGGCGTGAATCTCACCACAAGCACCACCGAGATCCTTGTCGTTGTAGAAACCCTCCCAGAGGGCGAGCAGCGACTTGGGGCTCGGCTTGGTACCGGCATCGAGCAGGATGCAGACCTCGGGGTTCAGGATGCGGCCAAAAGCGTTGAACAGCCAGCGATGCGAGTTGATCTTCTTGCTGTTTGCCTGCTTGAGGCAGAAAATGAACTGCACGGGGGGCAACGTGTTCGGGCCGTCGTCCGAGGGACGGATGAGCTGTTGATTCGGCGTGACGGAGAGCTGGGTCGTGTACTCGAAAATATGAGCGACCGTCTCGTTTCCGTCGACATCCTTCTTGACCACACCGTCCTGGTAGACACCGATCGTGGCTAGCACGTCCAGCACGTTCTTGTCCACCTTCTCAATACCGTCGAAGACCAAGCACACAACGATCTTCTGCCAGGCAGGGCCGCCACGGTTCCAGAAAGACGATTTCTTCAGGTTCACAATGTCCCTGATGTTCTGCATGACACCGTGCAGCGTTCTCGACAACAGGACCTTGTCTTCGTTGTAGTAGGTGATGGCGATGAGAAGCTCGGTATGCCGGTTGTACATGCGGGGACGCAAATCGTAACCGTTCTTGAGAGTGAAATCGTTGGGGTCGCAGGTGGCGGCCGTGTAACGCATCTTCAAGAACTCTTCGTTGTTACCCTCTTCGTCGCGGTAGCGAGGTTGGACGGCATTCCGGATGGCACTGGGAACGGGATAGTCGATGCTCAGGACGGAACCCTGAACGAGCTTGACCTTTCTGGTCGCGTAGCGCTTGAGACCGCCGGTGGGCGCGGCGTTGGGTTGCTGACGGGCAACCCAGCTCTCGTCTGTATCTACCGAGGACATCCTGTAGGCCGGGTCGGCCGAGAACTGCGACTGGGGGTAGCCCGGTCCACCGCCATATTCTGTGCCGCCGCCGGGGGGAGGAGGGGTGACGCCGATGCGTGTTGTTTGCGCATTCGGAGCGTACGACTCTGTCAGGCTGTATGCCGAGACAGGGCGGACGGGGGGAGTGTGGGCGCCCAGGCGATCTTGGTCGTATGCCTGGTTCTGGTTAAGGAGTGCGGCCTGCGATTCATCGTCGTGCTGTGAACTCGCAAGTTAGGGGTTATCATCCCATTACCACACACACACATCGAAGGTTCATCAAGTCAGGAACGCACCTGGCCGTGATGTGCTGGGAGATCCTGCATCGGGTGGCCCTCGTAGCCGTCTCCCCGGCCTCCGTGGTATGCCATGCTTGCAAAGCTGCTCGCTTCAAGGCGAGTGGATGTCGGTCAACCGCCGCAAGCCAGTAACTAGTAACAACGCCAAAGGGATTCTTCGAAGCAAGTCGCGAAGCGGTTGCAATCGCCAAAACACCAAACACGATCAAGGTCGTGGTGTGGTGTTGGTCGGTTGGGAAGCAAGGCAGGAAAAGCTGAAAACGAGAAAAGTCGGGTCAGCTGGCGACCAGGTAGCGGTGCCTATTGCAGGTGTTTGTGTGTTTTTTTTTTTCGGTGCTGATACCCAATTCCAGGCCAACGAAGGTCATGCGGCACAGGAAGGTCGCCGTTAGTTTAGGGTCGCAGGAGGATGAGCCGAATCAGGAATCAACGGTTCCCGATGAAATGGCCAGCCAGCGCCGATAATAGTTAATTTTGCAAAAGCGATGATCAAGATCAACCCAAAAACTGGGTTTCGAAAAGCTCAGGAGAGGCCCCCCGTCTGTATTATGAAGTTGGCGAAGCAGCCAGGCTTGTGGCTGAGCGCCAGGGATCCGGATCAAGGCCCCACTGAATTGCGCTGCCTTGCTCTCCCCATGGATGGCTCAGGATGGCCGCGACTGCGAGGGCTGCGAGTGGCTCGGAATCTGGACCCACCCGACGTCAAGCCCCAGCACACCCCAGCATGGACCCCTCTGGCCAAAAAAAAAAAGCCGAGCTTGAAAGGAGACCAAAGAAGAGAACGAAGTAAGAAAGAAAATCAAGAAAATAGAAAGAGATAAAATAAATTTTTAAAAAAAAAAAGTAAATAAAGTAAAGAAAAACCGATAAGTAAAAATTTCAGGAAAGAAGTCCAGCAGAATAAAAACCACCTATCTCTAGACTTTGGGCTTTCGCCGGCATCTACAAGTGCACCTGGAGTCTGGCTTATTTTGTCCGAGGGGGGGAGCCCAGCCCAAGTCCCGGCGACCCCTGACCGCCAAGCATTGCCCGCCAGGCGCTCCAACTCTCCCGTCATTTCTTCTTTCTCAGAAGTGTTTCACGGTTTCAGTTGTCTCCATTGCTGTCGTGTGCAAAAAGGGGCAGTCAGCAAACTAGCCCATCGCTTTGTCTACTTGGATTGTAATCTTGACCTGGTTTTGAGTATTTCTGCGCTCTGCAATTCCTTTCATGCTGTCTTACAGAGAGATAGATCTCTTCGTGTCGGGCATTCTCTTGCCTCACTGTCTCAGGGGCCGTGTCTCTCCTTTTTCGTGCACATGCAGCGCAGTCCTCCCAACCCACCCGCCTTACGGACACTGTGCGTTTCGCCTCCAGCCCGTTCGGAAGATCATCGCCATTCGCTTTTTTAGGGTGCAAAAGCCCGACCGCCATTCCGTTGCCCCAGGCAGCGAGAGCAGAGCGCCGGAGCTGCTGGGTATTTTTTTCGTGGTGATGGGCTTCAAACAAAGAGCTCCTGCGACAACGGCATTTCCTCGGTGTTCAGACTTTGGGTTCTGAAGCCTGAAACAACACCTGCCCGTTTCGTTTCTGTCACCGCGACAGGTTGGCTCCATCAGACCCTTTGAGACATGTCGGTCATAAAACCTGTCATAAGGTCCCCCTTTCCAACTCGTTATCAGCAAACGACACCAGAGGCAAAATATGCCCCATGGTGCATGTCTTAGCTTTTCCCAAGCTTGCTGCAACACTGCAAGACAACGATGGATGATGACGCGCCTCTCTGTTGCGACCCGCGCGGCAAAAAGAGCCGGCGCCGGTATTGACGTGCCATCCCGCCTTTCGCCACATGCGACACGAAAAAAAAAAAAAGCAGGAAATCTCTCTTTCGCATCAGAAACGATACAGCGTTACTTTTCACCTCCTGTACTTTGCAGTGCATACGAGCCCTCCACGTATGCAACGTTAACGATGTTTTCCCCCCTCCCCACCTCTGCCCCATCACAAAAGATGGCGGTGGTTTTTACGAGGTTGACGACGTCGCAGGCCGCACAGAGGGGCGGGTCCCGCCCAGCATTCCCTTGTGAGTGAAATGGAAACGACAAAAATAGATAAACGTTCAGGGTCGGCTGCCAAGACAGGGTAGGATTTCCATCTTCTCTTTGGCAACTGTGGGGACCTCACACCCAACACGACCTGCCAGTGTCAGCGGCATCTTTTGGGCTTTCTTTGTCTTGTTGGCGTGGTGTTCCGTGTGTTGTTGGTACTGTTGTGGAGCGGGGTCAGAAGAGCAAACGCGCGTTGTTGCCGCTCGACCAGCATGAAAGGAGGGGTTGCTGTTGCTCTTCACGAACGAGAGCCTTCTTCCCTTCTCCCAACGCTGCATCCTCGGCCAATGGGATTATGGGTAACATACACAGTAGGTAGGGATCGAGCTGGGTTAGGTGCGTCAGCGCCGGCGCCAACACCGACCGTTTGCCTGCGCCATCCATCTTCCATGGGCTTGTTGGGTGGAGGAGTGAGTTGTTGGTGTGACCCGTTTATGCGGTTTCCACAGTGCCCGTTACCGTCGCGTGTCGCGTCTCCAGACACTGCTGTGCGACCCAGCCAAACATTGCTCACAGACACGACATGCACGAAGCCTGCGGTTTCCGGGGACGCCTCCGACCTACAAGCCCCGTTGCCCAGGCCACACCGGCCGGCCGAGGGCGCAGTCCCGGCCGCCGTAGTGTGGTTGCGCTTCGCCGCCCGGAACGCTGGAACTCCGGGATATACATAGGAAGTTTTGATGTCCGCCTTCCGGCTGTGAAAATGTCGCGGATTACGCTAGCTATAGACTCTACTGTAATAAATCGCCGTTCAAGTCCGAGCAGCATGCGCCTTGCCAACTGTTAGAAGCTCGGGATATTGATGTTGCTGGCTGAGTGAGCAATGAAGGATCAGGTCGCATTTGGCGCCGGGATCCATCTCCTCCAACAGACCGCCCGACATGCACCGTCCTTTTTTTCTTTCCAGCGGTAAGAATTTGGGGAACAAGTGCCCGCTACCAAGTCAGACGCGGCAGTGCTCGCGTTAACTGCCTTATGTAAAGGCTATTCTCCCGCAGGGCTGAGGGCTCAATCCCCTCCGTCATCACAATTCTTGTCCAACGGCACGCGGACTGACTATTTGTATCCCGGACATAGCTAGAAGTTTTGAATTTCGAGCCGAAGTGTAGTTAAATCAGGCTAAATCTTGCCTGCATGTTAACCCTGAGAACTTGGAAGAGAGTAACTTGGCAGATTGCTCTCGTTTCTTGACAATTGAGGCGGTCTCTCAAGCTGTTAGAAAGGAGGCGAGGGCTCTAGCCAACTTGCGGAAATAGCCGCTTCTCCAGCTTGGCAGGGCAGGTTGGCCAACATCACTCGGTCTGAATCAAGGCATTCGGTCTAAGCATAGTAGTGGTAGCAAATGGCTGGCAAGAGGTCATCAAGAGATACGGCTTTCCGGGTTGGATCCGGAGGCGGTCCGGCATATCTGACTCCCGAGTGTCTCCCTGATGGGCTGGTCCCAGACTGATCTCACCATTCACACACCTTTCGCCCAGCCAGAAAGGAACTGTGCCCTGGGAAGGCCTAGAACCTGGAAGGTGAGCAGAAACGCCGCCACAACCTGACTGCCCTACATATAAACGGCAGTCAGCGCCAAGCAGGCACAGGCGCCTTGTTGATCCTCGATGTGATCTGCGGACAGATCGGACGCCGAATTGAGATCAGGAACAAGCAACCCTTTGATGGCATGTAAGCACGTGGGAGACAGCTTCAGGGCCGCAATTCATGAGTTCGCTTCAATGGAGGAATTGAAATGCTGTGTAGGTGCATGCGATGCGGGAAACTAGTCACCAACAGCAGAATATACACCTATATATAGGTGGTTGTTAGTCTGCATGTCTGGATGTGTTGCTGCGCGCGAGCTGACTGCGGCACCAGCTTCCCGTTGGGAGTTGGGGGCCCCGAGAGTGATCGCTTCCACCCATCGCAGTGCCGGAATTAAATCATGCAGAGCGGGTGAGGAAAACAAGGTCTTCCTCAATAACTTTCAATCTCAAAGGCGATCATCTCGAACGAGGTGATTCAATGAGGCCAAACATTGCACGAGACCATCGAATGCCACGCATGGCCATTGGCAGATTGCGAGGTGGGATTTCCCAAGAGAGTGCAAAGAAGAGGGGAAATTGGCAGTCCCGGGCCCAGCCGTGCCACGAAAGGGAATTCTAGGAACGCCAGGCTCCGGTGATCGAGCGAATGAGAGCCCGCCCTGGCCCTCCAACTTGTTTCGCCAATACAGTTGTGGGTCCCCCCTTCAGTGTGGCTCTGCCCTCCCCCAGTGGCCCCTTCCGCAAATGAAGCTAAGCGGAGACCCAGGCCGCGGCCTTTCTCTCAAAGTTGAACGGCAGCCCGCTGACACGTTCCTCCGGCTTTCCCGCTCTCACCAGCAAAGGCTCACCTATCGCCGTCCACGTCGACCTCCATCTCCGGTCTCAACACAAATCGCCTCTACAGTCAATTCGAGGAGGGTCATCCGATGTGTTTCTGGTGATTTTTCTGGATTTTTATTTTTGATTCAGTTTGATCCAGTTTGATTCATGGACTTGACCATCCCTTAGCTGCTTCATTCTTTCGAGCTAGTCTCATGTCACTCGCTTCCCGGTCACGGATTGATTGAATTCCTTCCCCTGATTTTCTTCAACACCCGACGCCATCGCTGCGCTCCACTACCTACGCTACGCCCACGATTCAATCCATTCGATCCCCCGCTTCGTATCACAAACGCCTAACTTCGTCCCAACTTCATCCGATCCGAGATCTCTCGCCACGATTAACATTACGCCTTTCTGGAACCCTGCCGTTCCTGGCATTACGTCGACTGATCGACACGAGTGGATGGTCCAGGCTTCACCAAGGATCCGCATCTGGGCCAACAACACTGGCACAGTAGTCACTATCAACTCTAGGCTTCTTCGAGAAGCACCCCGCCGCCATGTCTGCGACATTGAAGCCGGCCTATGGTATGGTGAACCCCGACGGCTGGGGATTCGGAATTATGTAGCTAACCTAACGGCAGCGGCCCTCAACCTCGACAAGCGGGCAGGCGGTACCGTGATGTGCGACAAATCTAAGGAACTCGTATGTCCGGACTGTGAACTGGGTGTGACAGAATGCCAGTTTATTTACCCCATGGGCTATGAGTCCTGCGCCCGCGCGACTTGCGTTCCAGTTGAGCCGACAGCTCAGGGGGACAACGACGGCAGCGATCGCTCGACCAACGTCGGCGCAATTGCTGGTGGAGTAATAGGCGGCCTCGCAGCCCTCGCCATCATCACGTACTTGGTCTGGAGATTTTGTGTCAGGACACGGAGGCAACCAACCATCATGGAGCCATGGGACGACGGGCAGGATCAAGGTATGGAAGGAGAGAAGACCTTTGCTCAACGACGGGACCACCGCGCCTCGACACATACCACCCATTCCATCGCCTCAACCGTCCTCACTCGCGCCTCGAACATCATCCAGATCGCCTACATCCCGGGCGTCACCAACCGCGCGACAGCGTCCCCGACGGTCCTCGTCCCTCCTGTCCCGCCCCTCCCCGTCGGCGTCTCCCAAGCCGGCACTCCCGCCAGCACCGAGGACCAGCACTTCTTTGTTCCCGGCGATCTGCGCGATTCCACCTACTCCGGACTGTCGGCCTTTTCCGACCGCACCTCCTACGCCCGCACCTCGTACGCTCCGCGGTCTAGTGTGGCGTCCACTATCTATGGCAAGAGCGCCGTTGTCGTTGCTCCCGCCCAAACCGGCATGCGGGCGAAGCCGGCCATGGTTAGCGTGAAGTCGGCCCACTCCGGCAACTCGACCGGCAGCTCGACCCCACCTGTCCCGGCCGTCGACTATGAGAAGTACAACCTGATGCCGCGACCCCCCAGTCCCGCGAACAGCACCTTCAGCGTCGGGTCGACCTTCCTCAACAACGCCAGCACTGCTACTGCCACCCCAGCCCGTGCCATGGTCGTCCGCGTGGGGAGTGTCAAGAAAGTGGGCGCCAACAGGCCGCCGAAATCATCTTCCGACGCCAACTCCGACACGTCTCCGACGGCATCCGGGTCCACCATCCGCGATTCGTCAGCCCCCACCCTGATTGTCGACTCTCCCGCCTCGGATCAGAGCCCATTCTCGGATCCGCCCAAATCCGCCTCGCACAGCACCACGACCCTGAGCGCTGTGATCGAGGAGGCCACGAGGAGGGCGTCACAACGAGACTCGACCATTCCTCCCAAAGGGAGGGAGAGGAGTCCATTTGGTGACGAGCATGCTACATCATGATAGATGCTAGATTCTATTGTCGATATTCTTTTTTTGCGGCCATATATTCCCTTCTATTAGCGGGCCCTTTTTTGTTCGGTTTCGGTTTTGGGGGTTTTTGGGGAACGGGCGGTTTTTATTTTGCGATGTGATGCGACGAACACTTTATACAGCTACCATTCGTGTTGTTCAGGATTTGGTTAGAACGGCGCCCGTCCGACTTATTCAGGACCGCGGGCTTGTTTCCTTTGTCTCTACGGTGCGGTTCGGGGATTCAGGTTTACGGAATGAGATACCGGAGTAACTCTGCTACGAGACTCCTGGGTGGATGAAGCGAGTTGGCTTGTTTGGTGATGGGATGTGATATCACGGCCGGTGGGCGGCGGGCTGAAGAAAGCCGGTATATAGCGCATGCCATATTACTGTATTGTATTGGATGCCAATGGATCAAAACGACCTTGCTTGTCTCCCCCATCCTACCTCCTTTTTTTCTTCTTCGGTGCGTTGGACCTGTTTCTTGGATCGACTCAATGTTTACCAGTGTTGGGCATCGCATCGTACGACTCGGTCGCTTCCCTCTCTCACAATGCTATTTCGCGGCGCGGGCCCCTATCACCCGGTAGGGCTGGGCCTTGTGTGAGTGTGAGTGTGCGTGTGCAACTGCCACCCAACCAACAGACACAAGACACTGGGCACAGAGCACATGCCATGCAATGCCGCCTCGCGGCACGGCCTGTCCTCGCGGCTGCCTGCCAACGTGTCAACGTGTCAATGTGTCAATGTGTCAGCGTGCTGCTGCGTGAGCTTGCCGCTGAGTTGGGGGGTTGCGTGGAAGGGAGTGGAGTGGGTTGGCTGTGTGGGTGTGGCGTGGGTGGGCTCGCGGTCGGCTGGGCTCGGGGTATCTAGGTATCTTTGTGAGTTCTGTGGGTTTGGGATTCGGAGGGGAGGGGGTACTTGGACCGTAGTCGAAATACGTTCTGTGAGTGTATGGATGGGCTGGTTCGGGTTTGGAGGCTGGCTGTGTATGGCTGGCTACCTGCCTAGATGCGGATATAAGGGGGCTGGTGGGCTGGTGGTGGGCTGGTGCTGACCTAGTGAGACAGACGGGCGGACGGGGTTTGGTTTGCGAGGGGAAAGGGGGTGTCGTTGATGGTGCTAGGTGCTTTGCTGCCATATGGAGCGGGTTGTTTGACACATGGCTCCGGCCGGGGGGATAGATTGTTGGGGTTTCAGGCGCCAGACTTATGCTAGATAACAGGGTTAGTTGTGATATATATATATATCTTGCGACTCGCTCCTCAAAGGGCAAGTCGGGAACAGAGTTACCGGCTTCATAGACCCTTCTCGAATAGGGGGTATACAACTAGGAAACTAGCCACGCCTTCTGAACTACCTAACTTCGGCACTTAAATCAGGGCTCGTGCCCATTGCTTCGCTTCCCAGCCGTGCCTTGGTCATATGTGGGTGGCCACCCACGACGAGTTTCCGGACTCTTATCATCAGACTCCAAGAACTAAAGACAACTTGGATTTCCGGCTCCAACTCCTTCACCGTACCGACATGTTGAACTATTGCCAAACAACAATATGGCACATCATGTTTGATAGACACGCTTGTTTGTACAAGTATAGGATAGTCCAGGACCATAACACAGAAAAACACCATGGCCGGCAGGTACTAGACCCACGGCAACTTGGAAGTCCAAGGAATTCTAATAGTTCCTAGTAGGATCAAGAGCAAATTGCGTATCAATCACGCTCCGGTATACCAGCCGAGACTTTACTATGTTACAGCAAAACTAAATCCCCAGCATTGAACCATTCAGATGTTCTCTGGACAGGGAAGGGTTGACTTCTTTTCTGATCTCTATCGACAGGATGTATGATCTGAGCGTAATACCAAGCATCAGCAACAGTGTCAAAGCTAACTGGCATTGAAACACTGACAAGAACCTCAACTCCAGTCAAAAGGCGCTGTGGTTAATCTTGTTGTTCCTTCCAGCCCGGGATGACGCCGCTCATAGGCCAACAATTACCGCCGTCTGTTCTTTTAAAACAACACACATAGCATATGGTACGCCGCTAGGCATTCTAGTACATCTACCAAAGTAGTGTCCGCTAGAGATTCTACAACGACGGGCCACCAACTGTAATTTTCCACCGTCATCAGAACATGTTGGCGAGCGAAATTGGGCTATATGTGTTACTCGTGCTTGTTCAACCCGTCATTCCACATTGACAACTGGGCCGATAAGAACACGTCAAACCATGGAGGGGCTGGCATTACATGGCATCCAGGGGTAGCTATCTTGACTGTGGTCTCGAGGGGTATTTCCACGCCGTTGATGATATATCCATGGGTTTGGTTGGTCGGGAGGGTCACCAGATAGAGTATAAACGATCAGCACAGCTCACGCGACTGCCACACTTGTGTGCCTGGCCACGCATAATTGACAAGTTGCAAAAGAAGTAACCGGTCAGGCGAGGCCGCCGGTTCCTTGATCGGTTACTGCACCCATGCCCCTCTTGGACTGGGACTGTATGATACTAGTAACACTAGAAGTGTATCACAGCAGTAATTTGCAACACGCCTCACACTGACCCCGATCGAGACTGCGAGGCTCATATATGGAGGACACTACACTCGCTGTTGGCTTGTATAACAACCTGAAAACCCGTTACTTGTCAAAGATTGCCGAAGCATCAAGTCTTGACACAGAACAGATGAGGGAGAGAGGTGGCTGTCAGCGTAACGGCCTCTTGACTTGCGGAGCCCAGGCGGAGCCCAAGTCATGGGTGGGCTCCCGATACCAACCTAGCGGTAGCCACTAGTTAACCTCCCCATTGGGACGAGCGTTGAGTGGCCAGGTAGGGTGGTGATAGCCCGCCACTTGCTTCTCGGCGGAGCTAGCTCCGTGTGTTCGGGACCGTGACTGGGAGCCCGGACCCAGCTGCTGGAGGTCCTACATGGGTCTCGTGCTTCGATCAGCACGACCGGCAGTAACTAAATGTGTTACCGGGACGCCTCCTCATTGGCGGGAGCAGTACGCAGTCTAACGGTTAGCGCTGGCTTTTGTCGCCCAACGGGAAGGATGGTGGAGGTATTTGCTCTTGATGTCGAGGCTGACAACCCTTTCCACTACTTGACAGTACGTTCCATCCCAGGCTAAGTTGTAGGAGTATGCTGATCTCTGTCACCGGGTTGACGGAGACTAGACTTGGTCACGATACCTCAGCCAGCAAGCTCTCTTCGTTGTCGTGCAATTTGGCTTAGCAAACTTAGCTGCCGATCGGTGAATATCTGATCAACAGGCGGGCTGCAGCCATGCAGCACGTAGCTTTCCCGCTTTGGCATCTCACCACTCAACCATTCCTCTTCCTCCTTAGGTTGGGAAGGGTGTGATAGCCAAATCGTGCATATTTTGACCATGAGCAACTCTCCATCAAAGGTGTTCCCCTCTCCTCCCGACGAGTAGCGGCCCGCACCCAAATGATCCCACCACCACACACACGTAAGAGACAAAGCTTAAACACATTGCAGCGATCTCCCCTGTTCGCAACTGCCGTGACCCTCGCAAACCAAACCCGATTCTTGCATGCACATGCATCGCTAAGACATCCCCGAGCGGCGGGGACGAGCCGGAACCAAGAACAAGCCTAATTCGAGGCCAGCGGCAGGCAAGGAAGGGCAGGGCAGGGCTGAGGTGAGGAGGGGACGGTTAATCATGCTCAACCCCCCCATCCACCGTCCACCAGCAGCACGAGCGCCCGCTCGAACGGACTGAGCTCCGGTGAAAACCGCCGACCCGCCGCAGATCGACCCCTTCGAGGATGGGCAAGGGCCAAGGACTGGGCGGTTTAACCAGCTTCGGAAGGACGGTGATGAAGGAACAGCTGGAAGCGCCCCCTCCCCAAAGTCCCCGAAGTGACGACTTTGACGTTTTGGGAAATATCCCAACCCGGACAGCACGCATCGTCACATTGGAACTTGACGCCGCGGCGGGCGGTCAAGGCCGACCCCACGAAAATCCGACCGTTCGGATTCGTAACCCCTACGCAGGAGACGCGCCAATGGAACGGCACGTGGGGGAGTGATGGGCTGGGCGGATGCTTGATGATAAACTATCACGCCACTGGCCCCCCAACCTCGCACTACACTAATAAGACATCGTTAGTTACATATCTGTCATGTCCCTGCCTAGGCTTGGACAATCTGCTCAAGGAGCAAGCTCCGGTCTCATCACAGGGGCACAAGGGGCACGAGATAGGGAGGTCCCCGAACAGACGGCCCGAAGAACGACGGGGGAGGCTCTTGGCTTTCGTTATCATAACTCCCACGACGTCGTGGGGGTGGGGGGACCACAACCTCACGCTGGGAGTTGTGCAAACAACACAACGCCGCCAACGTCCCTCACGTGTCAATGACAATGCTGTGGGAGAATGAGTTCGCTAGGCAAAAAGACAACCCACCAGACCGCTCCCTCGGGACCGAGCCATCTTGCCCATCTTGCTCATCCCTACCCAAAACCTCCCATGTGGCGTCCGGCAATTCACTTGATTGTCTCTCGGTTCGGTTTCGTCTCTGCCAAGCATCCGAGACACCCACAGCCAGTGAGTTAGTAACAGAGTTAATCCCAACTTCAGTTCATCAAACAGGCAGATAGACAGACAGACTGATCCTTCGCCAAGTGGCAAAGAAAAGGAGGCACGAAAAGGGGGGAGACGGCACTAACTAACTACCCTGGCAAGCCGGCCAGGCAATTCCAAATTCCAAATCGTCCAATTCCAAATCACAAACTCACCACAAAGACCTGGCGGGGGGGGGGGGGGGTAATGATCCCAAATCCCAATTCCAAATCCAACGTTCGAGCCCCAGTCGACAGACAGGATAAGAGAAACGCGCCAAAAAAGAGCCAGGGGCGGCACGCTCCCGACGGCGCAGTAGCAAGTCGCGTTTCTTCATCTCACCTTTTGACACCCACTCCCCTCGCTCGGCAGGTCTTTTGGACCCGCTTGGGAGCGCGGAAGACAGCCGGACCAGGTCCCCGGAGTACGACAGGAACAAGGGGGGGTTACGCGGGTTTGGTCACGTTTTTTTTTTTTTTACACTAGTGTAGCGTAGCGTAGCGAGGTGGAGGGGAGAAACCCGAGGAGCTGAGGGAGTCGCGACGAGCGGTGTGCGGCGGCTGGGTCCGGGGAGGAGGTTGCCGGGGGAGGTTGCCGGGAGCCGGGGTCCGGGGTCCCGGGTTCCGAGGGCCGGACCATGGGCGGGTTGGGCGGAAGGTTCAGCCCTTCCGGGGGCGGCAGGGTTGGGGACATACGGAGGCTGGGCTGGTTGGCTGGGTTCTTTCGTAGTTATTGGGTGTCGTAGTTTTTGGTACGGGACGGGTTCCCTAGCTGGGTTGGGGTTGGGAGAGATGGTAATCGTTGGAAGAAGGAAATTGGATGACAACAACGGCCGCTTGCAACGAGGCCGGGAGGAGCCGGATTTGCGCCCAGAGGACCGTTGGCGTTGGCGGAAAAAGCAAACCACTCTTTCCGTTCACCCGAATTTCGAGTATGAAGGTTGAGTTTGACAGAACGAGGAGAAAGAGGGTGGTCCACACAATTCTCGCACTTGGTTTGGTCAAACCAACAGGTTCTTGCGAAAAAACTTGCCGTCATCCCTGGGGGATATTATCTGCTTTCATTCGCGATCAACTAACCAGGGATTGAGCATTCCCGGGCCGAGTGCGGGTTTGACAGGACGGCGGTTTGCCGAGCCTTCCAGAGAAGACACATTTGGGTCTCCATCTTGTTGGTCTCTGTTTTAGCCGACCCTGTCCAAGGCCAACACACACACACCAGAAGGAAGGATGCCGTGTCGGCCGACCGGTGTGAATGCAAGCTGCGAGAGCACAGACTGGGCTGTTGCAGTGAGAAGACCTGTTCGCAAGTTGATTGATGGATCGTCTTTGAGGATTTTGGCTGTTGCTGCAGTCCAAAGGACGACGCGTCACTAACTCAACTTAACTCCGGCGCCGTTGGGGGGGCGGAAAGGAAAGGAAAAAAAGATGCATAAAAGAATGCCGATATCTCATTGGCAGATCTCGATGGGATTTCGGAAGCAGGCGTCGTCCGTGCCGGCCAAGGGAAAGAACGGAAGGATGCGGAAAAGGTCCACATGGCTTCCGTCGCTACAAAGTATACATTGTATGCACAGCGTAGCTAGGACTTTGATGTTTACCTTGTCTGTGCACCTTGGCCAACGCACACAGCATGCCCCATGCGGCCTTTTCTCCATGTGTACTTCGTTTCGTCCTTCATGCGGGTATCGTCGAGAGAAAGATGGCGGGGTTGGGATGGCGTGGTTTGGCGAGAGACGAGGAATGCGAAAGGCCGCTAAACAACGAGAGATCGGGGTAACTAAGAATTAGTGTAGATGTCGAGAATGAGAACACCAGTTGTGAGCCAAAGGCGAGTCGAGATCTGAGACATAATGGATGCCTGGCGTTGTCAGGTCTCGGGTCTCATAGCCAAATGCAGCATGGACGCCTCCGAGTTCTCGCTCGCATTTTGGGATTGACCATGTCAAAAAAAGAGAGGGAGGGATGCCTTGGCGAGAAGCTCCAAGCTGCTTGCTTTCCCTTTCTGCAAGACGAATCAGCATTGTGCGCTGTCTGGCCAGTGCAAAGCTGGGGACGGACAAATTGCTCTTGTGTGTGCGGGGCGTGTGGGTCCACAGGTGGGAGAAGAATCGGCTGGGGGAGATCCTGCCCCACCAAAGCTCGCACCAAGTGGGGTACAGAATGCCCGCTCGGGCCAAGACTGGTTGGTCCTGACCTGAAATCCTAGCCCGGTTACCCCACCCGTTGACCTCGCCTTGGGAAAGAAGGGGAGAGGCTCAGGTTTGCGACTAGGTGCCTCTGGTGTGCTCGGGATCGGAGAAGGAAGGCACTTGAGGAAGATTGGAAGAAATGAAAATTGGTGGAAAATTCCCTTTGCTACCTATTGTACTGCCTACATAGGTAGATCGGAGATGCAAGAAACGGTTCGGTGAACAAGTGGGAGGGTGTTCATCCCAGATCTTGAGCTGCTTTGGGTCTCTGCAACGGTAACCGTCCCCTAAAATAAGAATCTGCAAGTTTGAGATTTGACTTCCGCTGAACCCAGAGTTCAACGTTCCATTGCCATCCCTACCAGTGAAGTCAAATTTCAACCCAGGGCAACGGTAGCGTCCAGCAGTCCTCTCGGTTCTCAAGCCAACAGAAGAATCAAAATCCCTCACGAGAGACACCCAGCACGACCCCGGGCACGCCCGCCATGCTCTTATCCCCTGCCACACACGCACACACACACACACTTGCATCCTTGATTGACTTGCGGGGCGCTCTCTTGTTCCGGCCTGTCCAATCTAATCGACAAACAGCTCGCTTCTTCAACCCTACTGTACCGGATGTATGCGTTGTCAAGGTCAAAAAAAAACACTTGCGCACTACTGCAAAGTCAAGCCTCCGGGTGGACTCGCCTCTACAGTAGCTACCGGGTTGCACGCCGAACAAGGTAAGGTGGGTCGAACTTTTACAAAAGAAGGTAAAACACCACACAAAAAGCGTCATGAGGAAGCAGGAGCTGAGTTTTGGTTGGTTTTTTATTTGTTTGTCCTTGTGAAAGCACGTCTACCTTCCGACAACTTCCTGTTGGTGATGGGAAGATTTCCTGGTTACCTAGGCAAGGTGGGGGATGGGGGCAACAGACCACAACGCCGCCACGCCCTATCCAAAGTGTAATGGCATCTCGTTCTTTTCCTCCCATGGGCTATATTGGCCCCTATCGTCCACTTTTCCACCTCGGTCGTGGGTTAACCTTCGACCTCGCTAGCGCTTCGGCGCTTTAAGTATCCTGGAAGCATTTCCTTCCCTCCATGATTCTGAGAGGCGCCGCGGTCTGAAACAAAAACTCTCTCCCGAGATAGAAAAGAACAAAAAGGAAAAGAAAAGTGCACCCCTCTCCATGATTTGGATGGATATTTACGCCCCAATGATGCCCTCTTTTGGTTCATGCGCCATTCGCCGGACGGAGAGTCGGTATGTGTCTGGTGGTCCAAGGAAAAATAAATGGTGGTGGGTATGATCAAGAAATCGGAAGAGACCGGGATGGCGGCTGTCGGTGACCCGAGCGGAATGCTTTCGAACCTGCAAGGGATTGCCACTGTGCATATCGGTCCGAGATGACCGGTTTGGCCCTCCTTCGAGCGCGAAATGGGTATGGGAAGAAGCAAGAGTGCGCGAACCACGACAGGTTTCGGTGGCGAGAAGAGCTGCGGCAAAGAAAGATGTCGCTGTCGCCGCTCATAATATGGCACACCCCCGGCTGCGGCGTTCTCGACGATAACGGCCCTTTTCTGACTGGGAGTTTGAGTCGGTCCTCCTGGACGCTTCGTACTTGCTGCTGCCTGTGGGTGACAGCGGTTGAGAGGCCGCTTGTCGTTGCCGCCGCAGAATCCTAACCACGTCGTAGAAGGCCTTGTCAACATTGATATAGTTTTTGGCCGACGCCTCGACGAATTCGCATCCGAGCTCGCGCGCTAGAGCATGCCCCTCCTGCGTCGAGACTTCCCGGTCGGCGATGCGGTCGCTCTTGTTTCCAACGAGCATGATGGGGACGGGCGCGGACGGATTGGCAGCCGAGATCGGCGACCCGGGGTACGAGGGCGACGAGGCTGTTGACTCCTTGACCCTCTGAATCTGGTGGTGGAACCGCTTAATGCGCGTGAAAGACGATCGCGACGAGATGCTGTAAACTAGGACGAAACCCTCGCCATCGCGGATCCACTGGTCTCGTAGTGCTGTGTATTCTTCCTGTCCGGCCGTGTCCAACACTTCTAGCATGCACGCCTGGTTGTCTATCACGGCCTGCTTCCGGTACGAATCCTCAATGGTAGGGTCGTACTAATGGACAGTATGTCAGCGAGCGTTCTACGCAGTAGCCGCATCGTGGCGCTCGGGAAATCTTGTCCGAACAGCCGTAACAGGTGTCATAGAAGGGTGAGCGGGGAGTCAATGACAGGAGCGTACCGTTTCGACGAAATGCTGCAGGCAAAGCTGGATTGTGAGGGCTGTCTTCCCTACACCACCATCTCCGAGCACCACCAGTTTGTATAGTACCATTTTGCCCGCCATTTTTGCTGTCTTTCTGAGGGATCGCGCTGTTGTTCGGTGGTTGGGCGACCTGTGCGGTTATCGGATGGGGGGGGAACTAGCAGGAGGGCGAGAAGGTGGCACCGAGCTCAGGGGGAGCTAGGATCAGCCGAGGAGGGGCTCGATGGGATGTGCAGCACCCCTAAAATAAAAATAAAAAGAGAACACAGCTTCGACAGGACGATGACGACCAAGATGGACTTTCTTCGCGTAGACCTGGGCTCGGACAGGAGAATGGCGCAAGAGGTGGGAGCGAGAAATGGAATGAGACGGGATTCTCGGCGGCGGCGAGATGTCGGTGGTCGGCGGAAATCCTCTCTGCAAGCGGGAAAAGAGGGACAGCGATAACTTGCCGGGGTTAGGTGGTTTAGGGATGGCTTGGGGCTGGCGGTGGACAAGCAAGCCTTTGGTGATGGAGAGCTGTGGAGCAAGTATTGACCAAATGGGTGGTCTCGTCTTTTCGAAGCAACAGGGAGTCTTTTGCTGGGTGGTAGGGATTGCGCTGGGTATTGCTTGGCCAGACCCGGGGAACGATGTCGGGTGATTGCGAAGGCGGGCTGGACTTGGCTAGGATGAAGGCAGCTGTCAGGGAAAGCCGAGAGCGCACGGGCAGCCGATTGATTCGGGATGGGGAGCTGGGCGGAGGAAGGACAGGTGCCCTAGCTTTTCATGCTTTTGGCGCGGAGCTTAACTCAACTAGACAAGATGGGGGAGGGGGGGACAAGGCCTGGGGTCGCAACATATGTATGTACAGATCCCGGGCTGGAGCGAGTTTTAAAAAGGAGAGAGAGGAAGACGACGAACAAGGCGTCTCGTGCCCCGCCAAAACCGCCCGCACTTTTGCTCACAGACTCGGCACTGCGCATCACCTCACCCCATGGCCTCTCCCGCGGCCTATCCCATGGCCTCGTGGATGTGGGATCTGCTAGTAAAAGCAACGGGACCTGCCTCATGCCCTGCCCTGCCTGTGTAAGCAAAGCAACTGGCCTGTGAAGATGTGGAGGTCCATGGCCCCCGCGTTCCGGGGAGCTCTTGCCTGGGCTGGATACCTGGGACTTGCCATTATGGAAACCGCACCCCCGTTGGTTGCAGGAGCCGACCGAGCAAGGGCGTTTGCAGAGAGCGGGACTTGCCACAAGGCGAGCGGTCCCGTTGAAACCAGACCACCTCGCCAGAAAGATCAGCCACTCTCCCTGTGCGCAGCTCCCCGCGGCTGCTGTTTCCCGTTTGGGTGCAGCCTGTCGCCAACCACACAACTCGACCTTTCGAGCCGAAATAGTTAGTTAGTAGGGCTCCATTTTTGTTTGTGCGCCGATGCACAAAGCCCCCAAAGATCACAGGTTTTTATCTGTTCAGGCATGACCGGATGAGGCCCGTTCAGCGCCTGCGCCTCGATCACGACAGCAACAGCTGGATGAGGATATCAATGACACCTACATCCATCCCGACACGGTCTCCCCATAGGTATCCCCACAATTTGACCTGTTTATTCGCTGTCCAGCTGTCACTTTCAAATGCACCCCAGCGCGGGACGCCCGCTCCCGTGCGCAAGCGGTCTCCAATATCCAAGACCGACCGACCTCCATGCCAGGATTTTCATTTTTTTTTTTTTTTTATAGGTTGCGCACGGCAAGAACCGCCAACATAATTGCACCGTCTCGGCGGCCTCTGGCTTATCGGAATCCGCGATGGTGATCCGACCAAGCAAGAAGTCTAATAACCCGGGAACTCATCGAACGATTCCTCACATCGTAACCCTCAAAATTAAGGTGACTTTTCTTAACTTCACCTCATCCAGTTGGGCCGGATTGTGGGTAAAACAGTCGTGCGGTCGACAAACTCCCAGGTTGAGTCGGCGGGTCCAGATGCCGGTGCCGACCCGTTGGGGCGATATAGCCACTCTCCGCGACCAATCGTTCTGGCCTCGATCATGCCCTTGACGGGCCGACTGCAGGGTCGCGTCAAGGACAAACACTGAGTGAATTTCGGAGACATCGAGTACCTCGGCAACAGCTCGAGTCGAGTTGAGGGATGGTGACAAAGTTGTCCAATGTAAGGAGGACCCAACGCTTGGCCAAGACTCCCGTCCAAGTTCAGACACATCTCCCGGGAACACCTAGGCGACCTACGAATCTGAGTCGTCGATGTTTCGGTCTTGAAATGGCAGCGGCTTGAATCTGCGAGCCCAGCCGCAACCGTCACCTTAACATGTGCCCCGTGCAGACGGCAGACGCGCACAGGTCGCAGCTTGACGGCCCCAAGTCACCCTGGGTACTGGCTACCTGCAGGTGCTCGAAGCTCCCTTCCGGCGGGGTTGAGGGGCAACAAGCCCGGGTTCCCGTACAAACCGGATACCGGCATTGGCCCAATCGGGGCGAGTCACCTTCGCCCGGAATGGACGAGGCCTTGCAAGCTGTTCCCCGTCAAACCACTTCCCGTCGGATTTCTAGCTGCATGTTGTGAAGCACAACTACCTACGCTCTCCACCCCAAAGAGCTGACGCCGTGCTTGCGCGGATTGTACACAGTATGTACACCGCAATGGCGGGCCTTGTGTGTGCGGCGGCCGACGGCTCAGATCGATCGAGAAGGACCACTCAAATGTTGAAACGGGCGAGACACGGTGCTCGACGTAATAGCTCATTTTCCCCGCGCCTGCTCGGCATCGCTGTCCGGTCCGCACTTGGCAGAAATGGAGCACGAGACCTCTCACCTGCTGCGGACCCAGAAGCTTCAAGCATGAAGCTTGAAGCTTCGCACAAGCCTGCTTGGCTCTCAGTGCGATGAAAGCTTTCTCGCGCCATCGCATACCCCCTAGTCTAGAGGCGGCCCCATGGCCCGGATCGTCCTCGTCGAACTCGGTGTTATTCGGTGGTGTACGCCTGTGTTTGCTCTCAGGCGCATGGACCTGGAAAGTATCGACCGCTTCAGGCATGCCTCTGACTTGGGCCAAGACGTGCTCGCCGTCCTCCTAAAGCAGGCCGTCCCATGGCCCTGTTGTCTAGTGACACCCGAGACGGTGACGATCCACGGACGCTCTTTGCGTTGCCGAGACGCGCATGCTGTTAACAACTAGGCTTAGTCTGGTGATTGCACAAGACACGAAAGCAACGTTTCTTCGCGTGTCCCCTGGAGAGTTCGAGTCGAAATTTCATCCGCGACGTAAGATGTGAGAACCGAGCAACGCACGTGGTGACAAGCCTCTTTTTTATTGTTCGATCGTGGACTCGAACTGTTTTATACCCGTCTTACAAGCATGGATAGGAGTCACCGAGTCTGGTCTTGGACATGAGCTTTACCAAGAGAGATACCGAAAGAAGTTCACCAGCGCAACGCCAATCATTGCTTCACCAACCAATGGGGTTCAAAGTCAACGCCCCATGTTGTCGACAAGGCCATCTACCGAACCAGAACCACGAGCCCCACGAGCCCGCTTCTCGGTCCGGGGATTAAATGGGCCGCCGGCTCCGAAGCGGATAGACCTGAAATGCCCCATCACCGTCTTCAAAGACATTCTTCTCTCATTCGACAATTTAAATGGTGCTGTTAATAGAGGGAACCGGCGACGAAAAGAGATTTTTCACACCCCAAGCCGCTTCGCGACCTCCTCAAAACCTCCCTCTCCTTCGGCGACCCATACATCAACCCATTCTCTCGCTTGCACGTACCTCTCCTCATCCGGCTTCCACTCCTCCTCCCCAGGCCGCTCGACATACACCGTCCGCATCCCATACTCACTCGCGGCCGCTAGATCCTTCAGGTGCGCCGCCACCATGGCCACTTGTGACGGCTCTAGCTCCAACATCCTACACGCACCCAGATACACCTCCCCACTCGGTTTGTACTGCTTGAAGTCCTCAGCCGAAATCAACCGGCCCAACCCCAGCTGCGCGTGCGCGTTCATGTCCTCCAGCAGCGCCGTGTTCCCATTCGACAAGCTCGCCGTGGCGAATACCCCGTTCAGCCGTCGCATGCCGGCGACGACGTCAGCCCACGGCGTCAGGAAATGCCAGCTTCGGTTGAGCGCGTCCAGCTCCTGCTCGTCGTACACCCCCGCTAGCCCCCATTCCTCAAGCAGCGAGGCGAGGCTCTCGCGGTGCAGCGTGTCCACGTCCTTCCACGGCGTCGTGCCCGGCACAAAGGACCGCGTGAAGCCGCTGTAGGCGTTGCGCCAGGACTGTGCGAAGACCGACCAGTCGTCCCTCGTGAGGGACTCGAGGCGCGATCGGGCGGCTTCGGGCAGCGTGGGGAAGGCTGGGGAGGTCAGCTTGTCCGTGGCGGCGGCGGTGAGGGCGGATGTGATGGAGCTGCGCCAGTCGACGGCTGTACCGAAAAGGTCGAAGGTTAGGGCTTTGATGGTTGATGCGAGGGGGTGGGTGGAGGACATTGTGGGTGGTTAGCGAGGGACGGAAACTGGGCGTGTTGGCTGAGGGAATGTGTGTATTGAGAGGGTTATCTTGGAGTGTCCGAAAGCACACTGGTAAGTACACAGGTAAGTTGAAATTGACCGTAAAGGGTATATGCTGTTAACTGTCGCCGCCTCTCCTTCCCCAGGTGAGTCATCAGGTATGACGACAAAATAGGCGATATCACATGCCACCGACGCCCTCCGATGACATTTGGAGTCGGCCGGGGGTGCGGAGAAGCGGGGTCCGTCCGGCTTCGGCCGGACGGAGCTGACACCCCGGGGGGTAGATCTTAATGGTCGAGGTAGGGGGCATCAAGAGTGCTGAGTGGTGCTTATCGAAGGTTAGCAGCAGTATCCCTTACCGTGACACCATTCGGCGGTTTGCTGTCAGTGCTAACGATGCTGGCCAAGTCATATTTTAACCCGCGTCGTCATGTTAGGTAGGTAAGTCATTTCGATTCTTGGGGATCACACTGACGATACCTTGTCTCGTATCTCGAAAGTTCATCATCCGATACCGTCAACCCAGAATGACACTGTCTATCATTCACTATGTTTTAACCGACCGGTCACCTTCTAAGCATCACCGGTAACAACGCACCATAGCCGCGTATGACTCTTAGCTCAGATATGAATACCTTTTCCAACTTGTTGAGTTTTCTCTCGTCACAATCTGCTGCTACCCGTACATGCCAAGAACTTTTAGAAGAACACTAGTTGCCGTTAAATGAGGGCGATCGAATCCCAACCACCTCACCTCCCAGGATTCTCCGTGGCCATCACTGACTGCTCAGAAAATGTCCGCAGCAGAACAAGGGAGGCTAGGGTAATACGCAGATATATCACGTTTTGTGTGTGAAAACAACAACAACCGCCACTGGGCAACCCCCACAGATGATCATTCCGGAGGCCTACGACGTTAAAAGACGGAAATATCTAGCTCAAGACACCGAGACAGAAACCTAATGACACTGGCCCACGCATGCTCCCAATGTGTGGGAATTCGTTACCTTATTGTTGCTATAGCACTCAGTCTTAGCTTGTTTACTTCTTCCGCTTTACCGTCGCCTGTCCCCCTTCTACCTTGTTACGCACACCCATATTCCCCAACCCAAGTTCTGCTGCTGGCTCTAGCCAGTTCTGCTATCTTTCTTTTGACCCGGCGCGGGCCCTTTTTGATGATACCGACTGTGTTTTTCCCGACTCTGCACCTTGGTTGATCTACGACCCTGGTGTGATGTGTCTACGGCTGTTTGATGTTTTGCTTGGTACTCATATGGCAAGTGTCGATAGGGGGAGTGGGCTTCACCCGTGTTATGTACCTGCCTGGGCTTGTTTTTGGGCTCCAACTTAAGAGATGAGAGATGAGAGAGGGGGTTGGTTGCGCCGGGAACGGGTTGTATTGCGGCAGTGCTGGCCGCTTTGGTTCGGAACCGGGGAGGAAAGGAGGGGGACGGGAAGGGCTATTGGAGGCGCCGTTATACGTATCGGAGATGGCATGGTTTGGCTGGGGATAGGTGGTGTGGCGGTAGCCATGATGGTGGCCGCGGTTCGTATTGGTGCTAACCTGGTGGGCGTTAGGGGTGTGAATGGTTGTGGAAATGTAAACCAGAAAATGGGCGAGGGCAATATGGTCCTCGTCTCTCTGGACTTTTGTAATATTGTCTCCATCCCAGCACATCAAACACTTGACCAAGCTTGAGACCACCGCTTGACAACCGTGACATTTACTTTCGAGAGATAGTGAAGGCCAGCAAGAACTCGGAACGTGCCAGCACCAAGGAGAAGACCGACTCCCTCGCATTGTTCAGGGATATACTCAGAACCGGCATCTCCTGGTCTAACTACGGCCTCGCCCCCTATTCGCAGTGACCGGTGAGTGCTTGCCATGAGCAGACCGAATTGTATTTGGCAGATCGTTTCAGTGGTACGGGGATCGTTGTGTCCATGGTCACGTCCACGGCCAAGGTTAGGGGATATGACATATCCCGATTTCTGCCCCCGTATCCGCTCAGCGTAGAGACGGCTGCAAAACACAACGGTGTCGATGGGGTCGAGGAAGGGTCTGCTACCGTTCAACACAGACGAGCCAACCTCACCGCCCCCTCAAGACGCTTACTGGCACAGCTCCCAGTATCTGATCGGGGGAGTCGGCTTCAATCTTTGTCCCGCGGTGGGTTTCGGCTCGTAAAATCCTTGCCAACCTTGATCTGATCGGTGACTTTCTGAGGGTGACCGCCCATCGTACACCGAGATTACTGACTTAACTCATCGGATTGGTCACACAACGGTCTGAATTCCTGGATATTAAACAACCCCTTCTGGCCGAAGAGTTTCTTGCGCGGCTTTTCCCGGGGGATGCGGCTTAAATAGACTATGTGAAGCGTTTCTGATAGAAGCAAAGTGGTTGTGTACTTTGGACGTGAGCCTGGTTTGGACAGCACACTTTATTCAGACCTCCCGCCCCATTAACTCCGGCATCCCGCTCCCAATTAGCCAACCGGCTGTCGTTTTGAGTTTCTTGCAGCCGGAGATCAGCCGTTGTGAATCGGACTGAAGGAGGGTTGCAACCGGAGGTGTGCTGCCGCCGTGAGCTACCACCATGGACGGTTTACATGCAATGTACGTGATATCTCACACATGAGTTACATGTGATGCTCACCGGTTCACGACAGCATGCGCAAGGTTGCTGGTGGCCATTGCCCCTTTTTCTCGCATCGGCTTTGAGTAACGCTCCGAGCTAGATAGTTAATTGAGCATTGGCCAGTTTGTTCATCCCATTTGACGACCTCAGTCCTCTCCCAACAAATCGATTAAATCAGACGAGAGAATGTATGTACGAAGGAGGGCTGTGATCTTCCCGCAATTGAAGTACCGGGACACCAACGCCGTCACCTGCACAGCACAGGAAAGCGAGTTTCAGACCCTGGTGTGGAAGCGCGTCTTCATTTCTTCAACTCCCGTGTTTTCAGGGATATCTGCAGGCGTCACTTGCAGCGTAACAATGCTCAACAAGCTGCCGCCAGGCTCGCTTGGACGGCCAGGGGGTTTCTGATTTCCGGAGACTCCGTGCGCCTTGCAGCAAGCAGGGTCAGGGATAACCGACTCACTCTCCACGAGCCGCAGTTGGATGATGAGAGACAGCGCGTGCGCGCGTGCTGCGCAAGTTGGTTAGTTACTTGCGGACGACAGAGGCAGGTCTTCCTTCCCTTTGGTAGACTTGAGGAAGGTGGCTATGGACGAAGCGCCAGTTTCTCGGAGTTGGTCGTTGGCTCCCAGAACTCGGCGTGTATCGCGGCACGATTGGAGCGTTTGTTGGCCAACGAGAAGCCGAGGAAGCGACAGGCCATCCTTCGTCTCTGTGACGGAAATTCCAACGTTGGGGAACGCGGCCGCCACAACGCCATGGGCCTCTTCCCCGGACGGGGGTTGGATCTCGAGTCAGTCTGGCCGCGGCTTGGCATACTGGGCCTCCGAGGATGGGCCGGAGAATGCTTATTATTTGTTTTTCTGTGACGAGTCGTTTCTCTGCGGTTGTTTGGGGATGGCCGCACGCGGGGCACTGTGACGGTTCCTAGGTACGAAGTACATACATAGTGTACATATATACATAGTTATTAGATTGGCGACAAACAGCAGGAGATCTGACAGCAGTTATTTGCAGGCCTGGCCACGGGTCCGTGTCTCACTTTAACCACGAGATCGACGTTGCTTCGATCGAGAGCATGGTTTAACGCACGTTACGGTGCAGGATGCATGTGGCAGTGGATATCAACCCCAGCAAAGACGAGGGTCGGAGCAGGGCATCGAAGTTTTCTATCCTTGGGAGCATCGAAGGTCGAATGGAGGTACGACGGAAGTTTGGGATCCTCTAGTGTGGATTTTGACAATCTAGGGGCCACGGGGCCCATAAAGACTGTTTCCTGCGCAGTGGTGACATAGTGTGGGCTGGTGGTTCCTATCTCGACCATGACTTGGAGATGTTTGTCAAGTTGCAGGCCGTCTAAGCCCCGTCGCCTTGAGCTTCCAAAATTGGCTATCTTCTGGCGATTCCGGCTCGCCTTCCGCTGACCCTGCTGGCATCCATCGTGACACCGGTGGATGTTGATGAGGCCAGGGTCTCATTCGGTTAGCGGTTCCGGTGAAAGGGGACGGGTGGGGGATGTTCATTGAGGTCAGCCACGCCGTTCTCGCGCAGCAATCACGGTTTGACAGTGACACAGTCCCTTTCTCTCCTCTTTCCTTCTGTTGTGTTTCGCGCCGGAACTTGCCGAATCAACAAACCGCGTCCGGACTTGAGCGATGAAGCACGTGTGAGGGTGATGGGGGCTACTTGTAGACTTACGGAGTTAGAAGTGAGAAAAAGACTCTCGAAGTGAGACGGAAGAGAGGGTTTGTGGAGCAGAGGTCTGGTCGCACCCCCAACATGCCCACTTTGGACGACCCTGGGCCCGGGCGATCGTCAACATCCTATCACACCAGGAAATTAGACACAGGCTGGTGCCGGCTCCCATTCGCTGCCTGCCGGTCGTCACAAGAGGCTCCGTCCCAAACGAGCTAGTCGGCTGGTGCGCACCCCGGGGGTCTCATCCCTTTTTGGAACCCGTCAAGTGCGCACGTTGGACCCCCTTGAACGGGATGGCCGTTCTGCTCGAGGCCTGGGCGTGCGGGTGGTTGCAGACTCCAGTTGCACTCCTGTGAGTCTGCGCGACAGTGCGGAAGTGGCGATGGATGGGTTGGTGCTGGTGAGCTCGCAACATCGGGACGGAGATGGAAGGAGGAGCAACGAGGAGCGGAGAGAAAAGGTCGATTTAGGAGATCGGTTTCCATCTTTGGATGAGATCCGAAGGTCTTTCCGGGGATTTTCCTGCGAGAGTGAAATCCAGGCTGGGGTCGAGTTCTCGGGAATTGCAAAACCAGGGAAGCCCCTCCATCCTTGGCTTCTCGAACCTCCATGGCGTAATGAGAACCAGCAAACCGCCTAAACTTCCCAGCACAATCTTTTGTTTTCACGCAAGCTCTCGTTAGCCTGCTGAGACCCCTCCCCGGCCCATTGTTTACATAGTGTCTTGACAAGCCGATTCTTGACCCAGCGCATTCGGGGACCCTGGTCTTCCCGAGGCCGCGGAATGTTGGTTTGTTGGTTTTTTTGGTTAGTTAGATCCCACGAGGTTTCGGTGCTGCTGCTGATGGCTTATCCAGAAATCGTTGATTTGCTCTGGTCGGAACTTTGAAACGAGTCGAAAATAAACGAGGCGCACATGCACAGAGATGACAGCCAGTGGCCTGTCTCGAGACCTGTGTAACCAATCTCCATTGCCCGAGCCGCCTTGAGTTCCTCTGCAGACGGTTGGTGGAGGTGCGGGAGCCCGGCAGGGTGCTGTAAGGTGCGGGAGAGTGCGGCAACCATTGGCCTGTGTGCCCTGTGCATGTGCAGCCAGCAGCTTGATGGAAAGATTTGTGTCAGTGCTTTGGCATTTTTAATTCTGCTTTCCCCGATTCGTGCTCCACCCGCGAGAGGGGTGGAACGACCTGACTGCAGGCCAGGCCGCTGTTCGCTTTTCGGCAGGCTCTGCAGGGCATCCCACATTCTCCACTTTCCTGCAGCTTGCGGATGGCTCGTGTCGAAATGTGGAGTATTCATACAGAACCCAGGCCGCCCAGATCCGCCCAAACCTCCTTGGGGCCTTGTATCGCATGTACAATACAATCTCACTTCCGGCCCGGTGTCGCATTTTGGGGGGGCATTGTTCTCCTTCTTTTCTCGACTGAGCGACGAGGGTGCTGTTGCTGCTTTCACGCACTTTTTCACCTGCGGTTCGTGACGCCACTTTTTGAGTTCTCTTCTTTCATCTGGTCGAGTCTCGACTTCGAGAACTCCCAGATTCCGCACGCTCTTTTTTCCCCTTCTTCAGGTTGCGCGATACGATACCCCGTTTCCTTTCCTTACGCGCTTGCACCACTTTCTTTTCCAGTCTCTCTCTAAGAAACGCCAGCCGGGACATTCCTTCCTCGAGCACTTCCATTACATCTATACCTATTTATCACTAGGTACACTATCGACCTGTCTGGGGCTGGAGAGGTACGTGCAACTACGATCCCGCCAGCGGCGATTGCGAGCCCCAATTCGCCTCGGCTCCTCTCTAACCAGCATTGTACTGACTGAGACATCTTGTAGAAACTCCGAGCTTCCGCGATTTGTGAGCCCCACCTGGCGAGATCGCCACGAACCGCTGTTCGTCCCATCTTCCGGTTCCACCTCGTGGCAGGCCGGGAAGTTCAAAAAAAAAACGTCGACTCGAATCTTCTAGCGGCAAACAACAAGAGGTTCTTTATCTCATCGCTCTCCTAGGCTACACGACATCTATTTTCCGCACCTTGTGAGCCGCTTCTCGACTTTGGTGACCCCCGGTTTCGCTTCCAGCCCAAGCCAAGTTCGCATGTTGTCTCGCCCAGCTTGGGTTAGTCGGGGTTCCCCTATTTCATAAGACGCATGTTATAGCTTGAATAATATTGGAGTGACAGCATTGCTGATTGGCCAATTGGGACTAGGATTGGCATCAAAACCGATGGGGATATTGCATGGAATCAACGCCGACACCGACACCGACGACGTGCGACTTGTGTGAGTTAGTGCCAACCGGGTCACTGTTGCAGACCGTTTGACCACCCGTGGTTGTGCATGCATTTCGTGCTACGGGGGGCTGTTTCGAGCATTGACGGTTCGGCTGAGCTTCCGAGCTTGGGTCGTCCCGTTGCATATTGCTTCGCCTTGAAACAAGGTCCGATAAGCTGTCCTGGGCCAACAAGGATCATCGCAGTAGAGATCAGCCTCTAACTATCGGCACATCACTAACACGCACACACGCACCCGCCACCCATCTGGAAACGATTTGGAGCAGCAGCCCCCGATAGTGGAAATGACCTGAGCTCTCCGTTGGGTCAAGTAAGAGACGGTAATCTTTGTCATTTCACGAAGTTAAGACGCCGCACTCATAATGGCCGTGTGGGAAACCGAAGACGAATCCACCGGGCCGGTGGCCCCGCCGACGCCCATTGACACACCTCACCGACCACTCTCGCGGACGGTTTCGCGCGGCTCGCGAAAATCAGGGAGGTCTATTACGCCTACTGGAAAGAAGGGCAAGAGTCGCTCCCCTCCACCCCTCCCTGGGGACAAGAGCGAGAGGGGATCCAAGAGGTCCTCTAGGGACGTCACCAACGATGAAAACATCAGTATTTTGGATCCGCGTCGTTTCACGCCAACGCTCCATGCGAGTTTGGTTTCCGAGATTCTCTCCCTCAGGCGAGACCAGGAGGAGAAGTTGAAGATTATCGAGAGCCTTGAGACGTCATTACACACCGTGCGGGAGGAAACGGAGACACTGCAGTCTTCGCTGTCAACAACAGGGAAGGAAAGCAGGTCATTGAAAAGGCAACTCTCCTTGCTGGAAGGGGGGACATCTTCTGCGCTTGGTGAACTGGCGAGAGAGCGCGATGAAGCGATCGAATCGGCGTCCGAAGCGCGGAAGCGGCTTGAGGCAACACAAAAGAAATTGCGGAGCCAAGAAGAGGACTCACAGCGTGTGCATGAGCAGTGGGCGAAGGAGAAGGACGATTGGGAGGAGGAGAAGCGCAAGCAGGAACGGAGAATCCATGTCGCCGAGACGCGGCTAAAGGTCGTTTTGGAGGAGGTTGCCGCGTTCCAGGCTGCGCAGGCAGAAGGTCAGGATGCGGCCACCATTGGCGGAGAGAGTGATGGGGAGGAAAGCGTAAAGGACGATGCTGCCAGTGTTAGGAGCATGAGCCTCACGAACAGCATTCGGTTTTCGGTCGCCAATAGCATCCTCAAGGCGAATGGGAACTCGCTGGCTGACGAGCTGGGATTCGACGGCGGTTACGACGACGAAAGCGACTACGGCGGTCGGGATAGTGTCTTATCGAAGGGCCACATGCGAAACTTCAGCCGAGACAGCCTTGCCTTCAGAACCCACCAGCGACACCGGAGCAATGACAGCATAAGGAGACCTGGCAGCGTGGCTCGTGGGAAGCTGGCCTTCAATCCCGCTGCGCTCGAGAGGCTCGAAGATGGGATTATTAAGGAGGACGACGAAACGGTGCCGCCTGCTCCTCAAGTCAGCTACGTCGACACTGGAATTCAGTACTCGCCGCCACCGTCTCCCAAAATTGTTCCTTCAAAACCGCCGACCCCAGAACTGTCCTCGCTCCTACAAAAATACGAGAGGCTCAGTAGCCTCGACGGCCCTCCTCGTGGTGAGCACGAAATCGAGGCGAACCAGCGAAGGAAGAGGGTGAGTGTCGCTCAGCCGCTTGCTATCAAGACGCTTGGAATGCACAACTTGATGGTCAACGGTTCGTCTCAAACAGCCGAGGAGCCATTGAGCCCCCCGAGGACGCCTAAGACGCCACTGCAGGAGACACCCCCACCGCCGAGACCTAAGACGCCGGCCATGGTTTCTGCTTCCACGCAGACCGATGATGTGCCACCGCCACTTGATCCCTCGCTCCTTGAACTACCAATGCCCATTCCCAGCATCAGCATTATTCCCCCAACTAGTCGCCCGAGTTCACCTCGTGAGCCACGCCTTCCTCAACTCACCAAGGATTTTGGATGCCAAGTGTCGATACAGACCACAATATCTACAACGTCGTCGGGGATGCAGACGGAAGAGATTCGGGTTGACCAGCGACTGGACAGGCTCCCACCGCACCTCCACCCGTCTGCTATCACGTCCCGGCCATCTTCGCCTGCGCTTGGTGTCGTCGAGGTTGCCATGGAGGGCACCCGGCATTTCACACCAGTTCCTGGGAACTTGCCACCGCGGAATCCGCGACGACTAACATCCAAGCGAAGCTTGACAGATATGCCCTCGTCACCCCCTATTTCCCCTTCCATCCTGGAAGAAGAAACCCATGATCTCTACCCAGGAAATAACGATGACGGTCCCCTTTCAAGTCAGAATGCACCCATGCGACGGCCGCCGCGGATTAGCAGCCTGTTTGCCGGTTTTGATGGAAACAGCTCTGACGAGGTTGACGAATTCATGGACGCTGACCTGACCGACTCCGAGTACCGCACTGCGCTTTCTGCGCCGAGGCCTAAGAACGGGTCGAACCGTGGGGGTAAGCGGAACTCGATAGGAACGGTTACGTCGTCGGAGAACGCGTTCTCGCCGAAGGCTAGCAGTCGTTTCTTTTCTCCTGGGTCTGAGGATGGCGAAGCGTACGATTCGGTAGCCTACCCGGCGCATGACATGCGGGACACGGGTTTCGGCAGGCGGAGTTCGAGACGCGGAGGACGGCCTTCCGTTTTTGGTACTAAGCCCAGCGTCATGCGCCGGACTGTTATGATCCAGAACGGCATCGCTTCGCATCAGAGGGCCAGGAGCCCGAGTCTGACGGACCCCAAGGAGCCCCCATTCCCGATCCCAACACGCGCTAGTTCCAGGCAACCTCCCGTGAGCATCAGTGCCCCGAGCGATGGACGCACCAGCCCGAGCAGGAGTTCAGACGTCTGGTCGAGGCGAGGCTCGAACCGCAGCCACTACCGCGCCGGTAGCATCCGCAAGGTGCGCTCGGCGGCGGTCCTCCCCCGAAACCAGAGGTACCGGCGACGTGGAAGCCGCTCGCCGCCGGCCTTTGGCCCCTCCACGGAAGCCCCCGAGAGCCCCAGGCTCCCCCCGTTGCCCAATAACGATATCACGGCGCCGCGCACCAGGGATGGGTATATGACGCCGAGATATCGGAGTCACAGGTCCCAACCGTCGACAACAACGGCGAACACGGCGGACACCGCTGCGGCGTCGCAGGCCGCCTCGACCCAGCCGCCCACCGTGGTGGACACGATCGCCCAAACCATGGTGGGCGAATGGATGTTTAAATATGTGCGAAGGCGCAAGTCTTTTGGTGTTGCCGACACCAAGGGCGGCGATGACAACAGCAATGACCGTCATAAGAGATGGGTCTGGCTCGCGCCTTACGAGCGTTCGATTCTCTGGAGCAGCAAGCAGCCGGCTTCGGGGAGCGCGCTCTTGGGCAAGGCTGGCCGCAAGCGTGAGTGGAGAATTTTTCGAGTATACAGAGTTACCCTGCTGACTGCCCGATAGTGGTAATTCAATCTGTGTTGGATGTGAAGGATGACAACCCCCCTCCGAAGGGGACCGCCCAGATCTTCAATAGGTCGATTCTCATCTTGACACCGCAGCGGGCGCTCAAATTCACAGCCGCAAACGCCGAACGCCACTACATCTGGCTGACATCGCTCTCCTTTTTGGCACACTCTAACCAGGCCATACCCGATACCTTGACAGTACCGCAGTCTAAGCCGTTGGTCGAGCAGTATGAGTTGCCGAAGCCTAAGCGGCGAGCGATTCGCGATTCCATCCGCCTCACCAAGGCCAAGACAGCCGTGATCAAGTCGGATCCGGTAACAGCAGACTCTCACTTGGATAGTGCCCCGCCCAACATCCCTAGCTTCCGACCCCCTCCGGTGCCGGAAATCGTCTACAAAATGCCCACGCATACGCGGGATGCGTCGAAGGACACTGCCGAGCCCCCCGCCATTGCTCGGTTTTCCAACCAAGGCGCCATCCACGGGCGCAAGCGCAGCAACACTGGCAGCCACATCCCGCCTCCCCTCTCGTTCCGAGGCTTCTCCGGCCCTGCCGGAAGCGGTGGATCTCACACGGCGTCGAACAGCACGGCGGGCAACAGCGTCATGACCGCCGGGTCGTCGGATCTCTACAGCAACGCCGGCGCCAGCGCCGTCACGGGGTCGAGCGGCATGACGTGGGCGACACCTTCGGTGCGCACGTCGGAGGCCTCGAGCCGGCCCAGCGGTCCCGTCATGAATAACTTTTTCGACGCCATCGGCACGGTGCGCATGGAGGCCTTCATAAGCCCCCTCGCGTTCAACGAGACGCCCTACGAGCAGGACGACTTCCGGCAGGTGACGCGGCGGCGAAGCAAGGAGCTCCGCCGCCGGGCCAGCCGGGGCAGTCGCCAGCGCGACAGCTACCAGAGCCGCACCACCCGCGCCACCGACGACCTGGACGAGTGGTACATGCGGGATGACCCCTTCAGGGGGTTCTAGGAGCGCCTTCTCTTCTTGGTCTTTGTTTCCCCTCTATATCTTGTGGCACACGCTGCTATCCCGTCACGACTGACGCTTTCACTCTATTTTCTTAATTTTTTTTGTTAATCTGAAAAAGGTCTGCTGAGGGCCTTAGCTTTTTATGACCGGCATGCGCTGTCGTCCCTATCGTGACAGGGGTGGATTTTTAAAGACTTCCTTTCTACGGTATTTGGACTTCATGGCTGGTCGAAAGCAAGCATAGCACCACTGGGGGGAGGGTATGTTTTATACCAGCCCGTTTTGATATGTGATACCATCTTGGCAGTGGAGTTGTTGAGACGGACTCCCGTTGTATATTTATTACGTTCTGGTTTCTTTTCAGTCCCCCGCGGGACAGCCGAGGGCGACGTGAGCGGTAGAGCTGGCGACGGCATTCATCGACTGGTTGAATATACTGGTTATGTTTTGCATCTTGAAGAGCAAGCCAATTTTCAGTTCCCTCGCCCTTTCGTTTTGGTGCTTTATTGAGGGTTGCGTTGGCTTTTAGGACATTGACTTGGAACACAAAATGTGCTTAACCTGCGCAAGAAAGTGGTAGAAAAACGGAAGTTCCCTGAAGCTTGCTTGAGAGGGTGATAATGCCGCTTCTGTGCCTTCATCCTTGCGTGTAAGTGGGCTCGGTTTGAGACAGGAATGCGCCCCTAACCCTTATCGATCACCAGCCCCGCCATCCCCCACCATACTCTTTACTTTCTGAAAGCTTGTCTGGAACAACCTACCTGCACCCAACCTACTACCAAACCAGCCCACCATGTCCTCGCCAGCAGAAACCACCGCCATGGAGGAGTCCCTCGAGCAGATGCAGGCGCGACATAGAAAGGAGCAACGCGACTTCCAAGGGCGCGTCACCAGCAAAAAGAAGAACGCGACCAAGAAGACGCGCAAGTTTGTCAACGACGAGTGCGCCGAGCTCGAGCGCCAGCTCAAAGAGCGGCAGGGCGAGGAACTGCGCAAGCTGTCGGGGGAAGCCGATGAAAACAACCACGACGACGAGGATAACAACACCAGCGAACCAACACAACCACCCCATCGCCACAGCAACCACCACCACCACCGCCGACGACCTCGCCCAAGCCCTC